TAGTATAGAGCTTAGAAAAAATTCGCAGTGTGAGATAGGCAAGAAGTAAGACATGTAGCAACATCAGCACGGCAAAGGGCACTCCTTTAAAGGCAAGGCAGGGCAAAAATATTTTAAGTCAAGTGATAGCGATTGCTGTATTGAAAAGGAAATATCTTTTTAAAGATTCATTCATTTTCATTGCACAAATTAAAGACATTTTTCGAGATCATTTCTTAAATTGAGCTTTTATTTGTTCATTTTCTTTTTCATTACTTAAAAAAATGTTATATTTTCTGCTGTTGTAGCAGAAGAGATATATAACCGAGCAGGAGTTATTATCTCCGGATATAATCTTCATTTATAATGTTTAATGCACTGATTGGCAATTCAATTATATAGAAAACATATATATATATATATATAATATATATATATATATATATATATATATATATATATATATATGTGTGTGTGTGTGTGTGTGTGTTTGTGTGTGTATGCTAATATTTTAAAAAAAAAACAGACCACTTTAAGGTTTCATTATAATAATTTATTTCATCAGAGCCCTTTTTAAAGAACGCCGGATCATCAAAAATAGCATATTATAAAATATGATATATAAAAATATAATATATATATATATATATATATATATGTGTGTGTGTGTTTGTGTGTGTGTGTGTGTATTTGTGTGTGTGTATATATATATATATATATATATATATGTATATATATATGTATATATATATGTGTGTATATATATATGTATATATATATATATGTATATATATATGCTGTTACATGTGTGTATGTATGTATATTACATGCTTAATTTATTTTACTGATTTGTCTAGTTCATATTGTCGAAAATGTTTTATTGGTTCTTTGCCATCTCAGAAGTTGATACTGCTATGTTAGAATTCAATGGCCAAGCGGTACACTGAATTAAATGCTGGGTTCAGACAATGGCCATATTAAACTATCTAGCTCTGAATAACGACACAAAATGAAAAGAATTCATCGCAAAATGTAATACCCGAAAACATTAACTGCATACAAACACTTTCTCTCTGATAATGACATATTTGTTTGTCATTTGTTCCATTACAGGGGTTGATTAATTTTTTATGATTTTATTATCTTTTTAATCAAGTAAAGTGTGATTATTTGGTTTTGCCTAATAACTTCAGACGGTAGTTGTTTTTAAAATACATTAAGTAAGTTCAATAGAACATATTTATACTACTTGAAATTTTAAATCAGGCTTTGTTTTGACAAGGTTTCTCAAATCAAACTTAAATCATTGAGGTCTATATGATTTGCTTAATAACTTCAGACACGGTGTAATTGGCAATCTACTAACACGCTTAAAATTCCTGTAGTGATGGCACCAGGGAAAAATGTTCATCAAAGCAGTAGTCATAAAAATATTTGCAGAAAAGTCAGAGGGAAGCCGCGTCAAGTCTGTGAGAAAATGTCTAAAGTCGAGACGCCTGGTCAAGATCGAATACATTGCATAACCTTTGAATTTTGTCAAGAATCTCGAGATGTACAGTAAGAGCAACAGACCAGATATGGGAACAGTATTTAATGCACAGACGAATGGTAGATTTGTAACTTTGCAAGATGGATTCTGACGAGAAAAATTTCTGGCCCGACAGTGAACTAACTTTCCTTGTATTACACGATGTAATTGATTCGATATAGTGGCTTCACATCATGACAGCGGAAAAGCTGAAGCCAAGAAGGCGTAGCGTGTTGCTTTCTCTCATCAGACATGCTGCTGATAGTCAGCCCTTACTGATTCCCTCAAATTATTTCATAATGCCTCACTTTACGACCTTGAAACAAGTAACCCTCTACGTTGAGTTGCTCTTTGGCCTTGTATTGAGTGAAAAATAGTATAAAAACGGTTTGGATGATCATATGAGAAACGGTGGAAATTCTGCGATGGTAAAGCTTATTTTTCGAACCGATTAGATAATCTATAGAATTAGATAGTTAAAAGATCACGTTGGACTTGAGTTAAGGAAAAGATAGCAAAGAAGTTGAAAAACCAAAGGACACAAACGTTCATTAAAAACAAAATCAATCAAGCAAGCATTACCCATTAAAACAATTGACGAAAAATATTCTCCTTATCGACATTCTTTGAGACTCTACAATATTGCGGCTTTTTAATGACAAGTTATTTTGAAGCTAGCCCTAACCATTAAAACAACTGGAGAAAGAGGTTCTCTTTTTATCGACAGTTCCTTGATATTTACGCCCTTGAAAGAAGTAACCCTCTACTTTGAGTTGTTCTTTGGCCTTGTATTGAGTGAAAAATAGTATATAAAATGGTTTGGACGATCAGTGGTAGTTCTGCGATCGTTAAGCTTATTATAATCGATAGAATGAAATCATTAGAAGTTGACCTACTATGAGTTTAAAGTTAATGAAAAGATAGCAATTAAATAGCAAAATCAAGTGACACGAACATTCATCAAAAACAAAATCAATTAGGTAAGCATTACCTATTAAAACAACTGGCGAAAGATAGTCTCGTTATCGACAGTTTCTAAATATTCTGGCATGATTTCTACAAGATTGCGGCTTTTTAATGGTGACTCATTTTGAAGCTAGAACTCCCTAGTAAAACAGCTATCGAAAGACATTCTCCTGGTCGACATCTCCTTGAGATACTGGCATGATTTCTGAAATATTGTAGTTTATTAATAATGGCCAGTAATTAATATGCTAGCACTCCCCATTAAAAATTAAAAAAAATGTACAAAGATATTCTCTTTATCGACATTTCCTTGGGATTGTGCCATGATTTCTACAATATTGCCGCTTGTGAATCACGAGTTCTTTTCAAGCTAAGCCTCCCCATTATAACACCTGCAGATAGACATTCTCCTTAACGATATTTTCTGGCCTGATTTCTACAATATTGCGACTAATTACTATCGAGGCATTTTGAAGCTATCACTCCCCATTATGACACTTGCAGAAATATAACCTCCTTATCAACAGTTCCTTGATATTCTGGCATGATTTCTACAATATTGCGGTTTTTTTTAATGGCGAGTCATTATTAAGTAGTATTCCCCATTAAAACACTTGGAGAAAGATATTCTCCACATCGACGCTTCCTTGAGATTCTGGAATAATTTATACAATATTGCGGCTTGTTAATGACGATTAATTCTGAAGCTAGCACACCCCATTAAAACAACTGGTGCAAGACATTCTTCTTGCCGACAGTGCCCTGAGATCCTGGCATGATTTCTACAACATTGCGTTTTATCAATGGCGAGCAATTAAGCTAGCACTCCCCATTAAAAACATGTAGACAGATATTTTCCTTGACGATATTTCCTTGAGATTCTGGCTTGATTTCTGAAATATTGTAGTTTATTAATGCCAGTAATTAATAAGCTAGCACTCCCCATTAAAAAACAAATGCACAAAGATATTCTCCTTATCGACATTTCCTTGGGATTGTGGCATTGTTTCTATAATATTGCCGCTTATGAGTTCTTTTCCAGCTAACCCTCCCCATTAAAACATATGGAGAAAGAGATTCTCTTTATCGACAGTTCCTTGATATTCTGGCATGATTTCTACAATATTAAGGCTTTGTAATGGCGAGGCATTTCCCCAAAACAGCTAGCATTCCACATTTAAACAACTGGAGAAAGATATTCTCCTTATCGACAGTTCCTTGAGATTCTGTCATGATTTCGATAATATTGCGGCTTTTTAAAGGTACGTAATTTTGATGCTAGTAATCTCCATTAAAACAACTGGCGGAAGACATTCCCCTACTTGATAATTCCTTGAGATTCTGGCATGATTTCTATATTATTGAAGCTCTTTTAATGGCAATCACTTCTGAAACATTCCTCTGTAAACGTTGCCTTCGATATACCCCTTGAGTGATCTGCTCGTAGCTCCCCCCCCAAAAAAAACAGAGAAGAATTTTTGGAAAATCGTTTTTGCAAATCAACATTCGTAAGATCTTACTCAAGCAACGTTTGCCGGAGTTTAAAAGTTACGTCATTCGCATAATATAAGCAAAAGGCAAAATCCATCGCTGACTTCTTAAAGAGTTATATGTACTTTCTTTTTATTTATGAATATCACCTTTACATTAATGATAAGTGCATACTGCTGATTTTGTCATTTTTCTCCATTCGTAACAGTAGGCAGTTATAAATGATGTACTAACGACGTTGACATATTTTCTCAAATCATAATCCGTAATAGTACATTGTTACCAAAGACGCACTACCGACTTAATTCTGCTTTGGCGATAGTTTACAGTAATAAGCAGAAGAAATGATTGCCGAAGAATAAGCTGACTTCAGACACGTAAGGAGCACCACAGAACAGATTCTCCTTGTGCCATGTGAAAAATACAATCAGCACCTGTAAGACATCTCTGTGGGATATTAAGAAGAAATATAATATTTGCCAGGAGCTGATTAAAATTATTCAACAGCAATATCACCTGGCCGGCAGTGCGATTCATGACCAGAGAACAGTGAGAAGTCTGTTCTTTTTTTTAAAAATCAGTCAGCGGGCGTGAGGCCAGTATATCTACTGTCTAATGATATTGAAAACCCTATCGGCACAGTCAGCATTGAAGTGGGAAAGACGATAAAACTCAGGTTTGCTGATGACATCGAAGGACTGGCTGGAAGGGAAGACGAACTGGTTAACCTGGTGATGTGTCTGGATGAAAGAGTGTCCAGATCTGGCACACGAAAACAAATCTGACTTGAAATAGTGAACTCATCAGGACACCAATTACAGACAGTGGTCAGCAACTGGAGACGGTGAAAATTTGTACAGTCATGAGCCCAATTGGATCCAAGCCAGAAATCAGTACCAGAATTGTGCTAACATTAGTTGCGTTAGCACGGTTAAGAGCGATCTGGTAAAACAAAGCCCGCTCTAAAAAAAATAAACAGAAATAATTACATGCCCTCGTCTTGTCAGTTCTTCTGTATTCAGGCAAGTTAGGAACACTAAAGTGGACCCAAGCTGCTGAGATAAATTACTTCAGAGGTCTGCTTGGTATTTTCTGCGCCGACCGTGTCATGAATGAAGAGCTCGGAAGAAGACCGAGTCATCCGGTAAATGGTTATAAAGACGGGCTGACTACCACAACGAACTGAAATGGTATTGCCACGCAACCAGATCGCGAGGCCTCTCTAAAACCATCATACAAGGAAGTCTACAAGGAAAAAAGAGAAGGCGCCAATGAAATTGTCAGACAACGCCGTAGAAGGAATCGGCAAAAGTTTTGCCCGTGCCCATATGCTAACCAAAAACCGGATCATATAGAGATTTCTGGTTCAACAATCCAGCATGTAGAACCCCTAAGACCCTGTCGTGTTATCGAAAGAGATGTACTTATCAATTAATTAATACTAATGTTGTCCATTTTCTGATTTCCTAAGAGTATGCAGATATCAATGTCATAAATATAACTTTAAAGTTGAACATCTGTAAAAATAAAGCGCAGTGTACGTGTGTCCGTCCGTCTGTCCGTTCGTTTTTCGATCTCGGCGAAACATAAGCAACCTGAAGTAAAAAGTAGCAACTACTGTAGTCACACGCGATTAAACATTAAATAAATAAATCATTTTATGTTAAATTTAAATATCGAACAGAATGAAAGGTTTCAAAATCAATTCATTATTAAAGGTTTAGCTACAATTTTGCTTTTCGTCAGAAACTGTAATTCTTATCGTCTAATCAAACTGTAATAAAGACTTAAGCGGGGAACGGTACGTTGCTCATATGTGTTCTTTTTCTAGCGCGCGTCCTGTGACGTATTCGAAATATTATATAATTCAGGTTTCCTATTGTTTTTTTAGAGTGGCTTTATGCGAATGGATCATAAAGAAAAGTTCATTTTAAAGGGAAATAAAAAATTCGCGTAAAATAAATGTTAAAAAAACTACGGAGATCGGTAGATACGAAGAAAGGTTATGCTGAATTAAGGTCTCGAATGAAAATATAATAAATTTATTATTTCTAAATGCTTATAAATTTTACGTACATAGGACTTTAAATTAAAATCCCGGAGGTCTACAGCAGCTAGCCTAAAGGTCGGCTTCTAGGCTAATTTGTAAATAAAAACAAAATACAGACAACCATATATGAGATCTATTTCACAAAATATTTATGTAATGAACATGCCTCACACCATTTCTAAAATGAAAAAATTGAATATTTCTCGATTCTGTAAAAAAATGTCATGTGGATATGAAAGTCTAAGTCTGAAAAAATGTCATGGGGATATGAAGGTCTAATTGATACCAATTTACAACAATCGTTTTAAAAAATTCTCCCTGCATTGTAAGAGCGGACATGTTAATTTAAGTAGTGCCATAAACTCTGTTCATTATTTGCTTTATTAATTACACTGAGCAAGAGTGGGATTGTCGTTACCGCTGCTTAGTATGGCTGCGGTGAACATCTTTCAAAGTAAAACAAAGTTTTCAAAAGAAATTAATTTCAACACATACAGATTTTTTAATCATTTCACCTTAAGGAAGACAATAAAGCCATAATGACGCAGGAGGTATAAGCAAGACAATAACGCCATAATAACACAGGAGGGATAAGCAAGACAATAAAGCCATAATAACGCAGGAGGGATAAGCAAGAAAATAAAGCCATAATAACACAGGAGGGATAAGCAAGACAATAAAGTCATAATAACGCAGGAGGGATAAGCAAGACAATAAAGTCATAATAACGCAGGAAGTATAAGCAAGACAATAAAGCCATAATAACGCAGGAGGGATAAGCAAGACAATAAAGCCATAATAACACAGGAGGGATAAGCAAGACAATAAAGTCATAATAACGCAGGAAGTATAAGCAAGACAATAACGCCATAATAACGCAGGAGGGATAAGCAAGACAATAAAGCCATAATAACGCAGGAGGGATAAGCAAGACAATAAAGCAATAATAACGCAGGAGGGATAAGCAAGACAATAAAGCCATAATAACGTAGGAAGCATAAGCAAGGCAATAAAGCCATAATAACGCAGGAGGTATAAGCAAGACCATAAAGCCATAATAACACAGGAGGGATAAGCAAGACAATAAAGCCATAATAAGGCAGGGGGTATAAGCAAGACCATAAAGCCATAATAACGCAGGGGGTATACGCAAGACAATAAAGCCATAATAACGCAGGGGGTATAAGCAAGACAATAAAGCCATAATAACGCAGGGGGTATAAGCAAGACGATAAAGCCATAATAACGCAGCAGGTTACTGATTACGAATGAATATAAGAAAAAAGAAAGAAAAAAAAGACGTTATTAAGGACGGTGAAGAATAAACGGACCAAACTGAATGAATAAGCCAAAATATAACGATTGGCGATTCATTTAATTTTTTTAAGGTCAAACTTGACTGGAAATCAAGAATCAGAAAGAGGGATCCACAAGCGTGAGGTGCGATAGAAGAAACTGTTATCATAGAATTTATGGGTACAGATAGCCGTCTCAAGCGAAAAATGATGGAACCATGCTGTCGATATGGTACTGCGCTTAAATTTTTAGAGTTTAAGTACCACAGAGGGAAATTCACCAGAACAATTATCATTAATTTTTTTCATGAAATGTTTAAAAAAAAACCCAACAAAATAAGTCTTTTTCCTCCTAAGAGTTTATTTCCAGAAAAAAAGAACCAATAAACGTTTAAAAGAATCCTCAAGAAATTGAGAGCAGCCTGTTATTAATTTAGAATAACAGAAAATTCTGGAATGAAGCGAGTGCATTGTTCAAGCTCGGACCACGAGGAGCGGACGTCACGATATTTTCTTATCCAGTTGGAATTTTCGTCATTTTTTTTTGTTTTTTTTTTTTTGTGTTTTTTTGTTTTGTTTTGTTTTTTGTTGTTTTTTTTAGTCGGAGCCAAAATAACATATTTCTCGAATCGAATGCGTAAACAAGAGAAAAGCTAATTGAATAAAGAAAATGGTCTTTTAATGAAACGAAGAAGAAAATAAAAAGAAATACTTGCTTTGTTTGGATCGTGAAAAACGACGATGCATTTAGTGAAGTTATTCATAGTTTACCATTCGCTTTTACGTTTGTGAGACACGTTTGCAAGCAGGTGTATATTTTTCTTTTGTATTTTTTCTTCCTTTTTTTTTACGAAGAGTGATGAGTTGTTTCCGAAATGGCAAGAATATTCTGGGTTAATAAGGATAATGCAATCAGCATTTCAGAATTATTTCTCTCAATTATTCTGCATGTGGTATTATTGATGGAAAACGCCAAGATGAATAAACGTATGGCCATTAGCATATTTTTTTTAAACTGTCTAATATGTGTTTATATAGAAGACACGCACACACAGACAATTATATATTCCATTTTGCCCGGTTTCCCGATGATATACTTACGGCCATAACTGAATATATATATCAAACTTACGATAATAATGGTGAAGCTCGAGCAGTGGCTCTTCATATCTCAAAGGCGTTTGACAGGGTTTGTCATACTGGTCTTCTATATGAGTTTCAGAGCTACGGTGTTACAGAATGTTTACTTGATTAATTTACTCATTCCTAACTAAATGGGAAATGAAGCTCGTCCAGTTACTTTCATACTTAACCTGGTGTACCTCAAGGTTTTATCCTGGATCCTACACTGTTTCTGATCTTCATCAATGATCTCCCTTGTCATCTCATTTAACCGCCACAGAGAAAGTTACCTGCTCCTGCCCCTATCAGTATGGTTGATGCTAGACTCCGTAAGAATGTCTTCCAATGACCTGAGGTTGAACAACTGCATTGAATCAATACCTGCATCTTCTGCAAGGAAAGTAGGTTCACCCAGAGGGTTTTTCTCGCCAGAGTCCATCTTACACATCTAAAAATCTGACATTCGGCCATGCACTGAATACTGTTGCCATATCTGGTCTGGTGTCCCTGCTGTTCATCTCGAGTTTCTCGACAAAATACAAAGGAGGATCTTCAATATAATCGGTCGTGAATTGATAACTCTTCTCACATCAGTTACTCTCTCATAGACGTGATGTGGCTTCTCTCTGTATTTTCTACAAATATTTTTACAGGGTTTGGCATGCCAGTCTTCTACGTAAACTTCAGGGATGTGATATTACTGGACGATTATTTGATTTAATCCAAACATTCCTGACAAACCATGAAATGAAGGTCATCATGAACAGGTTCTCTTCCAGTTTTTTCATATGAATGCTGGTGTCTCCAAGGCTCTATCCTGGATCCAAAACTGTTTCTGATCTTCATTAATGATCTCCCTTAACGCGGTTTATCTTGGCCCCTGTCACCATCTCGTGCCCTTTGATTTCTTTGCTAAATTCGGCAATTTCGGCCCTGCTCGACACAAGAACCGAAACGTCGTCAGCATAGAGAGAATACTTGGCCAAAGTGGTAGCACCAGGTAGAGAAATTACTCGTAGGACCGGATGCCTCTTTAACATGAGAAGGAAAGGTACCAACGCAAGAACTTAAAACAAAGGCGAAAGCGAACATCCTTGACGAATGAAGTGAGACAATATGAAAATCTCCGATCGAATTCCATTCACTTTCACCAGCGCCCCGGGAATCGCATAGAGAAGTCGGATCCAGATGCGAAAGTATGGCCCAAAACCGGCCGCCGAAAGGATAACCTTCAGAAATCGATGGTCAACCCTATCGAATGCTTTGGACTGATCTGAATTGTTCAGCACAGCTTTTCCCGTCGACTTGCTCGATGATCAAGCGTACCATATGAAGTTGGTCCTGAATAATCCTGCCCTTCACAGCACAAGTCTCTTTGATGATGAAGCGTACCATATGAAGTCTATTCGGAGACAATCAAACTAGAGAGGTCAGCCTGCGAATGGTTCGCTAAGACCTTGGCTAAAATCGTTAACTCTGTATTTAACATGATTACCTATTCCTTCCCCACCGTTCTTGTCCTTGCGTAGCAACTTGGTAACACCCCTGGTGAAGCGTTGAGGTATAGACCCCTGATTCGACAAGTTGTTGAAAATCAGAGCCAGAAAAGGAATAAAAACGAGCGACTGCCTCAAGTATAGTTCGTAATCGCAGAGATTTGTCCCGGTCAACCTGCTTTAGTGCTTCTCAGATTCCCGACTCTGTGATGGCATCCT